CTGAACTTTTGCAAGAAGCTGTAGCTTATTCTACAGCTAATTGGAATTGCTGACTTGGTACCAGGCATGGGATTACAAGTTTCTCCCTCTATTGGCATGCTGCTAACTGTTTGGTTGCTTTGACTATTGACTGTACCAAGCAATGGGGACTGCATTCTATGTGTAACTATATAGTACAGTTGGTAGACAAAACCAAGTCGCGATACTTTTATGAGAGACCTTTGCTAGCATGTCTTGTGTGCCACTCATTCCTGCCTAAATGTGGTATTTAGTCTGAACTTGTGGTGATGCCAAGTAGGGGTCCAAGAACTAATGTTAAAATTTAGTCTTTTGCAAACTAGTAGTGGAAAAGTAGAACTTGCTGGCTCAAACCAAGTCAAAGCTGGCTTTCGACAAACTGAATAGTTGAAACATTGACTTCAGCTGAAATTTGTTCTGGGTATTGCATGCCTTTCCTTCAAAGGCTACAAAGTGCCTCCACGTGCAAAGTAGCCAGAAATGGGGAGCATCCTGGTATCTCGGCTGATTCGGATTCACTGAAAATATGCTAAATCAATCTTGGACCCCTGTAAATCAACCTATTGGCAAGGAAAGTGCATTCTCTGTACTGTTAAAATGTCATGTGGTTCAAACTGATAACTGTCAATCTGTCCAGAACCAAAACTAACTTACTAACTAAAATGGGTTGTCAGTGTCATCCAGCTTCTAACAATCTAGTTTATTTTGCCAACATCTAGGTCTTGTCAAAAGTGTTTCTTTGTCCCAATGCTTCAGAGTATATTGGCTAATGTCCCCTTTTTAACAAATGTAATTGAGCAGCATATGCTGGGTTTTGTTTTTTTGGGGGGGGGTTCCCCTTCCATACTGATTGTAACTGCTGCACTTGATGTCCAAGGTACAGCAAAAATTACCACTGCTAGATTGCCTCTTCTATATCTAAAACTTAGATTAGAGGGTGGCAGAAGAATGGAGTGGTGCCTAGGTAGAATCCCTTGTCTCTGATGTACCATAGATCCATTCTTAAACACAATCATGGTTGTCCAAAGATCTTGCAGAAAAAATTTCCCATGAGCTGTAAGCAAAGGCTGACTGTCCAGCTCTTGGCTGTTTTGGCTAAAGGCTGGTGCACTGCAAACTTTCCCTGCTGATTTGTGGTAAGTCTGAGCTGTTGCATAATGTCATGATTGGGAGTTGCTCATAATGGATGAATTGGTGAGCAACCACTTAAGTCCAATTTTAAGTGGGGAAATGTTACCTAAATTAGGCTGTTTCCTAGGGTTTAGTGTATGCACAATTGCATTTCTTGGTTGCATGTGGTATTTTCCTAGTGTACTGAGCATTACACTGTCCCTCGTATCCATGGATCTCTTGCTTTTTTGTTCTGTATTGTGAGAGCACTTCAGTCTGTCAGAACAAATGGGGGGAATGCTGCACTTTGCATTTTTCCATTCCATGCTAATGGATGGAAGTGCCTTCCAAAAGTAATGTCATGCTTGAGTTAACAGAAATGTAACTGTTTCTGCCTCTTAATAAAGACTTTCCAGTAAATGGATCAGTTTTAAAATAAATGAGGGAGGGGCAGGAGGACACTAAGAGATCTGACACCCTTAGGCAGCTAGGCCTGAAGTATTTGAAGTTGGAAGGAAGCCAGCATCTTGAGTCTAGGTAGAGAAAAACATATTGTTAACTTCCCTGCTTTAACTCATAGCAGAATGCTTAAGTCTTTCCAGCAAGCAATACTAGTGGAATACTGCAATCTGTCCTTGGGACTATGCTGAGGAACACAGACTGGGTTAAATGATTTGGTCCTGATCTAATGTGATAGGAAACTTTTTTTATTTGGCAGAACCTACAACTGGAAGCTTAATCTGTCTAAGATCACATCAGCCATTTAAGGTAGCATTAAGGCTTTGCTTCTAAACAAGTTTGGCTATTTAAGTCAGAAGCCAACCAACCCATGGCACTCTAAAGCAGATTAACCTGTATGTTTTAGAACAACCAAGGATTATGCAGGCTGAAGTTCTGGTGCTGTTGATAACTGAGCAGTGAGAGAAATTTGAAAGATTCCTTTATTGGGTGCCTCTCTCACTGAAGATAAAATAATTCCTGGGGGGGAGAAGATGGCTCCAAATGAACATTTGATCTGCCTCTGGAGGATTGAAATGCTTTATCTTGTGGCTGCTTTCCTCTTTAAACCAATTCCTATTCCTTGCTACTATCCTTTCTTGTGTTTCTCAGTCTTTCTGGACAGATACTATTTAGTGTGACTCTCTGATAGAACTTGGTCCTGATGATAGACTTTTTCTAGCTCTTTTATTTGGCAATCCAGGGACCCTTAACTTGGCTCTTCTGCCTTTTTTGATAGAGTTGGTTTGGCAACTTCTTCTGGAAGTACTGTTTGGTATCTGTCAGTTGAAGAAACTAGTGCTTTCTCAACAAACTGTCTTCTGTTCCATTGTCTCTTTTTAAAAAAAAAAACAAAAACAAACACACAACCTGTGGATTTTCTAAAATCACTAGTCAGCATAAGTGAGAATCACTTTGTTAATTTAATCTTCAAAGAAAAGGACTAGAAGTCTGAGTTAAGCGGACTCTTCTTTAGTAGACGCACTTTTTTTCCCCTGTCCTCTTCCCAAGAGATGACTAGCTTGAATCTCTTGACCAGTTGACTTGCCATCTCTCATGCCCCCCTGATGGAGAACTTCTGAAGTTACTTCACATCTGCCCCACTTGCTTATGATGGCAAGTAATATTGTTGCTTCTGGATAGAAAGTTATTACTAGGTCAGGCCCTGAAGGAATAAACCAGTATGGAGTAGTCTTGGCTCACTCTGAGTATTGGGTAAAGTAAAGCTTCAGCATGCTGCAGTAAATACCAAGATGCCCTTTGCTTACAGGAAGCTAGGGCACCTCCAGTGGATCAACTCAACTAGACAAGGAGACAAGGGAGTAATGGACATTAAAATACTAGTATGATAGTAGGGCAGCATGGAAGCTAAAAGGTCTGAACTACTAATTGGATTATGCAGCTGTTTAGTTAGTGTAGGTGTCACTAGGGAGAACTTTCTGATGTTTGCTTAGGTTGACCGCTCTATGGGGAGGGCCATTGAGTAATGTAAATCTGCTTTGACCTAGTTGTGGGCATGATGCTATACAATAGCTAGCATCTATATTGTAACTCTAGATGAGGTGTCAAAAGCCAAAGTTCTAATATGCTACTGGAGATCTGTATATAACCTTGCTGAAAGCTATGGAACCTAGTCATAGCATGAGTAGAGCTAGTAAACTAAGTACTAAAGCCCACTTGGAAAGAAATGCGCTTTAATGTCTTTCTAATTCCTGTATCAAGACTAAACCAAATTTTGCTCTAGTGGAGTGTCTTACAAAGCCTAGTCAGCTCTGACTGTAGGCTAACTTGATGAATGTACTCCCTTGAATCCAGAAAAGTAAGAATGATGCATACTGCCTCTTTGTTCAGGAATTAAAGCTTGTGGTGCAGCATCTTAAGGCTATTGTAACTAGCTTTCACATGTCTTTGCTGTACCCAGTCTTTGCTTTGGGTACAGCAAAGACATGGTAGGCTAACAACTAGCTTCCCTCTTATTGAAATAAGGGAAGTAGGATAACTTAATTTTAGTGAGTCGGTTCTCTAAATGTCATCTAGCCTCCAATCTATAGAATGGAGGATTACTTATACCTGTTCATGGCTCTTTTTTTCTTTGACTCGCATCAGCTGGGAAGACACTCCAGATCTTTAACATTGAGATGAAAAGTAAAATGAAAGCCCACACCATGGCAGAGGAAGTGATCTTCTGGAAATGGATATCTGTGAATACAGTTGCCTTGGTGACAGAAACTGCTGTCTACCACTGGAGCATGGAGGGAGAATCTCAGCCCCAGAAGATGTTTGACAGGCATGCCAGTCTGGCAGGCTGCCAGATTATAAACTACAGGACTGATGAACATCAAAAATGGCTGCTACTTATTGGAATTTCAGCTCAGGTGTGTGTTTAAAATTTATCTTGCTGCCTGCTGCTCTGTCACATGTCTAGCTTGGGATCCCTACAGTCTTGACATGCACACCTCTTCTTTGGGCTGAGAGTAAAACTTGCAGTCTTAACCCTCTTTTTCTCTTGCTGTATTGCCAGCAAAATCGTGTCGTTGGTGCAATGCAGCTCTACTCAGTTGACAGAAAAGTCTCTCAACCTATTGAAGGCCATGCAGCAGCCTTTGCAGAATTCAAAATAGAAGGAAATGTCAAGCCTTCCACACTCTTCTGCTTTGCTGTGAGGAGTCCTGCAGGAGGCAAGGTAAGTCTGCACCACTTACTGACCATCTTTCTTAATGCAAAATGGCTGCAGTTGTTTTTGGCCCTTTCTTTGAAAATGACCATCTGCTAAGTTGCCAGTAGGGTTTGTTTTTGGCCTGTAGACTACTTTAAGATGTTTAATGTAACCAAGCTGAACCAGTCCCCCTTTGGCTTTCAGGTAGTTTAAAGAACTGCAGGAGGCAATAGAGTACCTGTATTTAAAGGCATAAGAGCCATGCTGTAACATTAAGGGAAACATCTTGTGCCTTGTATTGCTTCTTGTGTATCTGCACAACTAACAATGTGCAGCACCTTTTAATTGCAGCTTCCTGTACTGTGACCCTGAAGAGGTGAGTCTGGGACCTCCTTGCTCAAGCAGTTCTGTAAAACTTAAAATAATACAGGGGTTGCTCTGTCACTACTTGCAGTACAGAAACTGTTCAACTACTTGAGTATGGTCCAGCTTGCTGACTCTTTCTAAAAAAAAGTAGTTTTGTATATTAAAGCCTGAATTGTGGCTTCTGGGCTTAAGGCTTGTTGCAGACCCTTCATGTTGTTGGTAACTAAATGGAACTGAAATGATGCTAACCCAGCATCAGCCTCAAAGTGCCGATTCTACTTAATACCCCTACCAAAAGGGTGGAAGAATCTCTTCATTAAACCTGTTTAAAGCCAGGTGCTTCTCTCTCTTTCTAGAGCATTGGAAGCTCTCCAAAATATCTTAACCCTCTTGCCCTGGCCCTAGTGCTTGTGGATAATAAATATTAGTTTGAAATTTTAAAGGGTAAGTGGCTCCAGAGATGTTAAGCTGCTAATGGCTTTGGTCTGTAAGTGGCTTGAATTGCATTTCTCTCTACCTAATACTGTTTCTCAGGTAGAATCAACCTGAAATCTATTCTGGTGCTTCTTTCTTCCCAGCTGCATATAATTGAAGTAGGTCAACCTGCTGCTGGAAACCAGCCCTTTGTTAAGAAAGCTGTTGATGTATTTTTCCCTCCTGAGGCACAGACGGATTTTCCTGTGGCAATGCAGGTAAATGTCACTGAAGCCAAGCCCTTGGCCTGTTACTTAATCTTGGCTTACCGTGTAATCACTTACTCTCTCTGTTAGAAGTGCCACACTGCAAGTGTGGGGCACACCTGTGCCCCATCTCTACTAGAAGGTGCAGTCTCTTGGGGGGCAGGTGGGGAGTTCTTTAATACTCTTTTATGGCATGCATCTAATTGCTCTTATACTTGCAGCATTTCTCCTATGTAGCTGGCACTTGGACAGAGCCAGGAGCTGGGATTTCAAATGCCACTTTGGCTATAGCAGTTGTGCTTTTTTCCTACCCTCTCCCCAAGAGGCAAGGAGGGGAAGGAGACAGCAGATGTCACCTACTCTCTCTCAGTGGAGCTGCATGAGTAACTTGAATTCCTTAAAGTCCATTCCACAAAGTAGAACATGCCTAGTGTGAACTACTCTAAAGCAGCCACTCTAGGGCTGGGGGAAGGCTAAACCAGACCTTCAGTAGATGTGGAAGGGGAGGCTGGAGAGCATTTGGCTCTATACTCCTAGCTGGAGCCTACACAAGCAGTAATTGCTATGAATTCATATGCCTGTCTTTTTCCTGATGTAGCTGCTGTCTGTAGTATCTGTTTGCTTTCATAGGAGCTATGTTGGAAACTACATAAACATAACAAAGGCAAACTCCATGGGTAGAAGCCATTTTAAGGATATAGCAAGTAGGTACAGCAAAACCAGGTGGAATGGAAGTCCTTTAATGAGCTTATGAACAGTATGATAGGCAGTGCTCACAGCAGAAGGTAGCTAATGAGAGATTCTGTGGGGGGCAGGGAGAAGATATTGTACTGAGAGGCCAAATACCTGTGGTCTTAACATCACCTCTACTAACTAGGTTGTGCTGTTGACAAGTGGAAAGTTCTGTTCTTTGTAAACTGCCCTCAGCCTCTGGGGAAAAGGTAGCATATAAGCTGCATGCCAGCATTTGCACTTCAGCTCCTGGGATATTGAGTTCTGCAGTATCAAGCACTGTTGCCTACATAACTGTTTATGGTTGAGGGTTGGAATGTGTGGTTTTTCTTGGGGGGGGTTTTTTGGTGGTGGTGGGGGGCTCTTAACCAGAAGAAACACAATCCAAACAGGATATGCAAAGCAAGCACTTCTCCAGGCCTGAAATACAGCAACTGACCTGTGCAACCTCAAGGCTTTAACTCTTTTTTTTTTTAGAATTGGCTGCCCAAATAAAGAGACTCTTCATGGAGAAGAATCCTGGGGTTGTAGCATTACTACTTTGTCTCAACTGCTCTATACCAGAAGCCTCTATCAAAATATCCTAGCTTGGTCATACCAAGACTCTTTTTTTTTTTTTTTTTT